TGACGGCCAAATGTCCCCAAACATGGTACAAAATTTTTTAAATTATACATTCACAGAAAAATAGTGTCAGTTTCAATTGACTGTGTAAAACCAGCATTTATGTCAAATATAAAGATGGATACTTTCTTAAAACACAGATTTGCAAATCATGCCAAACCAAATATTTGCCAAATTCACTCTAGCTGGCATGTGCATTTCCTATATTTGTACATATCATCATGATCATACTTGAGAAAAAGTATGCAGCAAAGGTAAAAAAATTCGGTACTATAGTCAAAAGTTGTTAATCTGGACTCGTCGGGACTTCGGCGATTCAGGATTATAGATCATCAGTTTAAATCTGGTAAGATGGCATGCAGAAATTATAAAATTAAAAATATGAAACTGTAATTTACGAAATAAAGAACAATTATGATCTAAAGGGTATCAAAATTTACAAAAAAAAAAAAAGCTTAATATTTATGTTTTTAATAAATATTAAGCTTTTTTTATTAAACATTTCTTTCAATGTAAGTTGCTTAAGTTGCTTCGTTTTTTATGTGATAATACATTCTCTTTAATTCTATAAATAGATATAATTTCTTGTTCAGTTACAAAGTTCCGCTGTTCAAGTCCTATAATTGCTGTGTCGAGAATACCGACTAATTTGTCAATCGAAATTTTTTCGTTTTCAATAACCTCTCACTTTCTTCGCTATCGGAAGCGAATTATAATGACAAGGAATTTGATTTAAATCATATCAAAGACGGAGTACATCGAGAAGAAATACTACATTTAGTAAGGAATTATAAGCCAAATAAAATAAAAACATCTGCCCTGAAGATAAGGATAGTGCTGAGAGATCAACTTCCAATTCATTACGTGCCACGGCGCTTTCCCCTCCCAGCATGAAACTGAGATAAACAGGTTTCAGAATGGTTAGATAAACAAAGGATTATGCCTTTATCCATTTTTTGCAGCAATTCCACTTTTTGTTTAATGGACTTCAAAACATACTTTCTCTTTGTAGATCCCTTACATATTAGTAAATATATATCGGAAATTCTATTTGACATAATCGAAAGTTCAAGCTTACTTTTATAAAATTGCTCTAACAGTCTTCAAAAAATAATAAGCCGGATCCAATTTGAAGATTAAGGAACAACGCAATCTGCAACATTAATTGAATTATATAATTTTAGCTTAGCTTATACCGTCCGTTATACATTAAACGCGCATGTGTAAACGTATTATGCGCATGCGCACACGCATATTTGCAGCCGTAAAGTTCTTACGCGCATGCGCAGAAAGTTTGTATTTTTGAGGTCCACATTAGGGTGTCCGAATTAACGACTTTTGACTGTATTCAGTTTTGAGGGCTGTAAAAAATCGCCAAACTATTGTTGATGCCAGTGCAGCCAAAAATAATTGCGGCAACCCTAACGCAATTAGGAAGTATAATAGTAAATAACTATCTAAGACTGTTTCAATTTAGATGAAAAGTTCATTTCATACAATACTTTTTTATTAATATAATTTATATAAAAAAGGCTAAACATGACTGAATGGAAGCATAAGAGTAAATAACTATTTCAGACCACTATTATAATTTATATAAAAATTGCTAAACATAACTGAATGGATGCCTGCATCGCTATTTTGCTACTGAGTTATTGCTAAAGCACTATTTCATCTCGCTGGTTGTTCAAACATAATTTTCTATAATGAATGATACCTTTTCTCTGAAAAAATTCTCGATAAAGTGCAGAATCACCCACTTATTTGTTTGCCACACTTTACAAGGGCTAAAGACAATTGGATTTTTGTCAAGTGAAAATAGGTCGATGTGTACCTAGATAAAGTCAAGGTGCATAGCACATCTATGTGTATACAGTTAAAGTATGTGCAGTGCCATTTTTGTTCAATTCTGGGATTTTTTTTTAAAAAGTGAAAATAGGTCGATGTTTACATGGATACCGAGTATGTGCAATTCTTAAAAACGCTTGAGTGGGTGATTCTGCACTTTACCCAAAATTCTATTGCAGACTTTTCATCATGGGCAATTTCCAGATTGTTAAATCCATAGGATATCAAAAAAGGATTTATAAATTAAATTAATATTTCAATGGCATCTTAAGAAATATAGAATTATATAAATTTATGCAATCTGAAATCAGCGCGTACACTAGATTTGGAGCGCTGTTTAAATGGGTGCGTTTGCTAGATTTGGCGCTTTTGCACACACATTTTTGCTGCAATTTTTCAATTGTCTTCAAAACGGAATAGCACCAAAAATTCATGTGTGCCAATCCCTCAAAAGTAGCAGCTATCGAGCTGTTACGAGATGTGAGACAACATGCTCTGATACTGCAAGAGCAATTCACTTGTTCAGTAACGCCACCACTTGACATTACAAAAGCCATAATTTCACAGCCGATAACAGGAGATTTTAGCAATCTGTTTTGTGTCTGTCATCAAGGTGAAGTAACAGGGCCAAATGGCCTATGATCCTGTACCTCCTCTGATATCAGACATCGACACTTAATGATCCTGCCCTCCTCTGATATCGTCTTCAACTATAATGAGTCAGATGGCATAAAATACAACCAAAAAACTAACAGGGTGTTAATTCAGTCTGCAAACTGTTCCAGACACAGTAAGCACATAGTATGCCCTCAGACTCTCAATAAGAGAGACTCATGCCACTAGCAAGATTTTCACATAACAAGGACAATAACTTAACCTTTAAATAAATTGTTTCTATGCATTAAATATCAACTGTCATTACTGTATTTTTAATTGAGCTTTTCAAAATTTATTAAATAAATATGGGGTTTTCATCCGCAGAGAACCCGTTGGCGCTGTTGCATTCTTACTCGCCAAGCTCGCGGTTCATCGAGGATGAGCCGAGCCGTAAACGTGATTTTTAGTGCATGTAAATTCAAGTTAGCAGATAAAACAATATATTAAGCATATGGTAGTAAAAATTCACAGATAATATGCATGTAGATGTAAAACTAAAGGGTTAAACGTGATATACGAAAATAAATTTGTATTAAATTCAAGTTAGCACAGAAAAGAATATATTATTAAGCATGGACAATATATAAGCATTTATAACGAAAATAAAAATTCATTTAAAAAATATAAATTAGTATTATATACTGAAATTAACCGGTTAAAACGTGATGTACGAAAAAAATTTTGTCTTTAATTAACACAGAAAACAATATATTCCTTACACCAGCAGTTGTTTGCTAATTTTGATGACCATGGTGATGCATCAAACTATTCTGTCATCTTAGATAATCAATATTTTTTTATTTCAATTTAATCATCTATTTATGCCACTACCCTGCCATCCTCTGAAAGGTTATTGTTAGAAAAGCTTTAACAATATATTATCTTGTTAAAATTTTATGCCATAAAAATTGCTTTATTCTCATAATTTAAGATGACAATAACCAATAATAAAAATAAAAGCATTACTTAATTAGTTAAAGTGCACATGCACATTTTTGCGGTCTACGAAAACAAATTATTTTAAGACTTTGAAACCTCATGGTTCTTAGAGCTATTAATAATTAAGAACACAATGTGAACAGCCGTGTTACAAATTAGTATTCACCCCCTTTCCTTTTATCCCGAACCGAGAACCTGGCATCTAGTATCTACGAAAATATTTCTAATCTATTCGTTGTTAAAAAAATTCAGAAAAACTAATAATAAATTAGAGAAAGAAGAAATATAAATCTGCAAATGCGTACAACAACGTCCTACAGTGATAATTCAACAAAATAAAAAAAACGCAGAGGAGTGGTTGCAAACTTCGAACAAGCGAATGGGATAAATCCGAAGGGTTACCAAGTTAGAACTATTATCGCCAAAGTTGGCGATGTTTACATTTACCGGGTTCTCTGCGGAAGTGCTTCCTAAATATGTTTTTTGCTCAATAAGCAGTTACAGACAACCTAACAAATGCAAATCATTCAGCTAGTAATTACTATATGAAGTCACTCTGAAAGTGCACCAGTCTTACTATGCAATTTCGCCTATGTTTTGTACATCTGCTAAAATTTGAATAGCTCATGTTTTGATTTTGTTAAAGTATTTGTGATGTGGTTACTGTGCACATATTTTCACTTCTTTTCTCACAAACCAGTTATTGGTTTGATGGAAATCTCATAACACACATGGACACCATGGTATAGCAAACTGACATCAATGAAGTCCTGAGAAGAAAAACAACAAAAAAAAAAAAAAAAAAAACAGAAAATGGGAATAATAATCAAAGATTAACATATGTACTTTGAAACAGAGGAAAAAATACTTTGAAAAAGGGGTAATTTAGCCTGCATTACCACAGATCCTGATCATCATATACCAACTGTTGATTTTGTCAAATATAGCCAAATAAAAGAGCTCATCACTCATTATGATTCGTCAAATTTAAACGATACTCACTGCTTGTTCTTCATCTATTTAATCAGTTCAGTTCATAATACTACTGAATACCAAAACTACATTATTTGATATTTACCATATTATTTCATCCCTTAAACTAATACTTAGGATCACATCAATTAACAACTTACGTGGCATGTTTTTTTTCAGCAAGGGCAATGTGAAATTCTAAAGTAACATAAAAGATACATAACTCCCAAACGGCACTGATTTTACCAGAAATCTTATCACAGCCTTTTCCTTTTTAAAAAAAAATCCTCTTTAACTCAGAAATTATTCATTTTTTATTATTTTTAATTAAACGATAAAAAAAAACGCTGTGCAGTACATACCCTCAGAAGCCATCACTTTCAGAAATCAAAACAAAATTTCACATGTGCCTACTCTTGCTTCAAAAGTTGCGTCTCAATCCTGCCTTTTCTGTGCCATTGTTGAATTTGAAAAGATTATCAAATCGAGAGACTTTCTACATTACTGCGCATGCGCGAGAATATGAGAAATTGTGAATTCTAGAACTACTCAGGTATAGTGTACTAGAAGATATAGTGGGATTATCGCCCCATACACCCCGTGTTAAAACACGGTAATCTTTTTCGTACAAATAATAGAGGGCGCTGTCAGCGCATATGCCCCATCGAAATCAGGTAGACGTTTGTTTACAATCGTTGACATCTGTCACTTGCTATCTTCCTATTAAAGATCGAATCATTACTGCTACTTTTAATGCTGTAAGTGAGCTAATAATTTTACACAATAATCTTGGGTATTCTTTTTTGTTGTGAGCTGCTGAAACGTAATTTGATATGTCGGCAAAACTCTCACGAAAGTGTTTTGTTCCCGGCTGTATATCTGGTCACCAAAATGCCACAAAAGCATCACTGTTTAAAGTTCCCAAAGACGAAAATCTTCGTCGAGAATGGGCGAAAAGAATCTCCAGAGGAGATACAGAACTATCGATTCACCACAGTGTGTGTGAACTGCATTTTGAAGAACATTTTATTGAGAAATATTATCATCATATTGTTAACGGTGAGGAAATAAAAATTCCAAGAGGTAAACCACTGCTTAAACCTGAAGCAATACCTAGCATATTTCCGAATGCTCCAAAGTATTTTAATAAACCTCTACCACAAAAAGGAAAGTCAGAAATAATATAACAACTGTGACAAAAAAAACATGTATGAATAAAGAAAATATTAGTATTTCAAACATCCCTGTTAAAAGAACTGTAGCGATAAGTGATGTAGAGACTGTCCAGTTACCTTCTCCATTTTGGTCAAAATTAAAAATCAAAAGCTGTCCTCAATCCATAGTATTCTTAAATCTGATTTGTAATGAAAAATTTTCCGTACCCTTTGGTCAGAAAATTAGTCAGTATCATTGAAAAAAATAATGAATTCATTGCAGATGTTTTCATGTGTGGCCAAAAAACCCAATCTGTTACTTTTAATGCTGTGAGCGAGCTGGTAATTTTACTGAATAATGTTGAGGCAATATCTGTCTGCAGTGGAGTTGGAACCATTTTGGAATATAATCAGCACTATCATAAAATGTAAATATTATGCATGATCAGATGTACAGTAAAAAGTGTGCAATTAAAATTAATGAGTCTGCAACATGTGTGCATTGTAAATATGTAAATAGATTACTGAAAAAAAAAATTTGTAAAAATAATTATTTGAAATCAAAATTAAGCAATAATAGAAAAAACAAATTGATATGTTGTTTAAGAAAAAAAATTACAGAGTTATCCTTAAAACTGAAGGAACAAAAAACAAATGAAATGGGCACTTCTGTTGTTGCCTCAAATCCGAAGCAATTACTTGCTATAAATGCTTTTAATAATGCCTCCAAACGTAAAAGTACTCAAGGTATGATTTATGATCCAAAATGGTTAATTGAATGTATAATAATGAGAATGAAAGGACCAAAACTTTATGAACATATCCGTGAAAATAAAATTCTGATTGTGCCTGGAAAGAACTGCCTACAAAGATATGTTAAAAATTACCGCAGTGGATTTGGTTTCTGTGATTCTGTTTTTCAGGCAATCAAAGTGAAAACTCAAAGCATGGAACCATATTTTCTCCATGGTGGTATATTGATAGATGAAATGAAGTTATCTGAAAATTTGCACGTGAGTTCAGATGGTCAAATTGAAGGATTTGTGGACTTGGGAAATTTTCAAAATGGAAAAAAGCAAAGCAATCATGGATTAGTATTCCTATTTCAACCATTTGTGGGTGACTGGAAGCAGATTGTTGCAGTTTTTGCCACATGCAACAATATTAAAGGAACCTTGCTTGCTGACTTGATAATAGAAGCAACAATTTTGTTAGAAAATGCAGGTCTGTATGTAGATTTTATAACTTGTGATGGGGCTACGTGGAATAAAGTAATGTGGAAGAAATTTGGTATAGGTACTCAATCAGATAATACAACTGAATATCAGATAAATCATCCATGTGATGAAAACACGCAAGTTAAATTTTATATCTGACTTTCCACATTTAATAAAATGTATGCGAAATGCCTTTTTGAAACATGGATTTTACACACCATATGGAGAAGTGCGCCCAGAGCATATAATTTGTGCATGGAAGAAAGATTGTGGTGCCGTTACTTTAAAAGCAATGCCACATATTAATAGAAAGCATCTTTTTCCGAATAACTTTGAAAAGATGCGAGTGGATTTAGCATTTCAGTTGTTTGGAAATGAAGTAGTCAATGGCCTTAGTTTCTTCCATAATGAAATAGAAGAAATGTACGGGAATTTAGAAGGTACAATACAGTTTGTGAAACAGATAAATTCATTAATTCATACAATGACATCTAGATATCCTGCAGAAGCTTTATTTTTAAATTCAGACAAGCACACAGCATTATTAAATTTTTTTGTCATTTCTGGATGAATGGGAAAACTCACTAAAGAACAAAATATGAAACTTGGTTTGATTAGTCATGCAACTGTTGAAGGGTTACGTGTAACGTTAAAATCAACATTGTTTCTACTTCATTACATGACAGAAGAATTAAATTTAAAATACATTTAACTTCAAGACTAAGTCAAGATGCATTAGAAAATTTATTTGGTATTATCAGACAGTCTAAAGGTTGTAATGATCATCCAACACCTAGTGAATTTTTGAATATTATTGAAACACTGCGTTTTTACAATCTTGCCAAGTCACCAAAGCATGGAAATGTATCAGAGGAAGTTATAACTGCACTTCTTGCACTCTCCATTGATAAAATGCATGCTGTAAAAAATAGTCAACATATTGAGCATGTAATTGACCAACTGATTGAAAAATGTCAGTTGGTTGATGCATGCTCATCATTTGATTTCTATTGTACAGCTGTTGATCATACGTACAGTCGGCCACAAAAGTATTCGAACACCGGTACCCATTCAGAAAATTTACTTTTCCGTTGAGAAACAAAAGGTTATTCAGAGTCTCCTGGTTCGATGAAAAAAACAAAAGTCTCATCTTGGTTCGATACATGACACTTTTCCGTTGAAAACAAAAGGGACTTCAAGTCCATCTTGGTTCGATGGCTCGTATGTCCAAATTTGGCTAGGTGGTGTCGGAAAAAAAATACAACATGACCTATCTGGGTGAGATGGGAAAACAAAATGGCTGCTCACGTGATCCAGGTTTGCGCTCAGAGAAAACGCAAAGTGTCGCTGCGGCTCCGTCTCGGTTCGCGAAGAGTGAAAACCCAAAACGGTCTGCAGTGTCTATCTTTGTTGAATGAGAAAACAAAAGGATGGCTCATGTCCAGTTTATTTAGGTGTGGGAAAACATATAACGTGACCTATCTGGATGAGATGTCTCCAGCGATCCAGTATAGACTTTTTCCCCAACTGCAATAGATGACATCTATAAACAATTTCATTGAAATCTCCTCGAAATATAAGAAACAGCTAGCTCGTGAAATTGTAAGGTATTCCCAAAAAATTCCACTTCTTGAAGAAGGAAAAACATCCTAGATGCAGATGAGTAGAGAGAGAGAGAGAAAGCATGTTGCACCTATGGACAGCCCGCACGGTTCTGAACAGAAAACGTGGAATACTTTTAGATAGAAAAGAGTTGAAAGTGAAAGTAAATCGCGATTGGCTGGAAAAATTTCTATTGGCTGTACCGACTGGGAAAAAATTTTCAAAGCTCAGAAAAAAATTCTGAGTCGTGGAGAAAAAAAGAAGAAAAAAAAAAAAAAAAAAAAAAAAACTTTTTGTTAATTTTTATTATGTCTTCTAGACATGATAAAAATTAACCCTACCCCCCTTTTGTGTGGGAATGTTGTCTCACTGTTTCTAAAAATAGACCATGACTCATTCTAGGAATTATATGTTTTAAAAAGGATGAGTTTAAAGTTTATAAGATAAGTTTTTAAAAAGGATATGTTTTAAAAAGTCTTTGGGTTTCTCCATTCCAAAGTAAACAAAGTGAAGACATCAAATTAACCCATCAACGGGCCCGCCTCTCGGAACGAAATGCTTCGAAAACGGTCGCGTTGTCAGACAACAAACCCCTCCAAAAAAAATTGCTTTCGTTTTCTGAAATCTCTCTAAGATGGCCCAGCCTAAGCAGTATGTTTGCTTCCCCTTAGTGGGATGGATAAGCCATAAAATTGCCTCCCCGCTATTGAATGCCAAGAAGTAGTTGTTCCGTTTAGTTTCGTCTCCCTCCTCTTTCTTTGTACTAGTAGCCTGTAGACTTGTTTCTTTTAAAATGTGACTGCAGAATTTTCCGAAATCTTTTTAGAATTTTAGCTTCCCAGCTTGTGAACATTCATTATTCGACATGTTTTATTGGGCAGTATTTTAAGAAAGATCATTATTTATTTTGTTACACAATTTTTTTTGCTATTTACTTATCTATTTTATTAAGTTTTAGTAAACCATTTATTTGGGAAATTAATTTTAATCCATTCTTTTACCGACTCAGTTTTTCATCACATTATAAGTCCATACATATTTACGATGAGAGTACAATATTTATCAGAAATTTTTGGAAAATTTTCGCATATGCATTTATATTTTAGCGTTGAATTTTTTCCACAAGTTGTTCTTTTACTGTCGAGCTCATCTTTCGTCTTTCAGCGTGGAATTGGCAAGCATAATCTTCCTAATATTTTTCGGATTTTATAGCAATTTCTAGAATTTTTGGCGGTTTTCTACAAATATTTTGGTAAGTTTAGCTATTATACAGTTTGCTACTAATGTAGAATTTAAAGCCAAAAATGTATTCCTTCGTTGATTTGAGAGATCGCATTTCGAATTTAAACGGAAGTTTAAATGAATTTGATACAATCTTACCACAGACTAGAAAGAATTATTTCTCTGTGTTGGATGGATTTTTCTCACTTTTCTGCATTTGATACATTAAATGCATAAAGCAGACACTCACAAATAATTTAAATAATTTATTAAATAAATTTCTATTTTCATTTAAAATTTGTCATTATTAGCACCTCCCGCAGTTTTTATGCAATCATAGGATTTTCCGAATTGTATTAGGTCGTTAACATAATTTCAAGGCCTAATAGAAAAGTGGTAATATGGAAAGACTATGTCTTGAGTACCAATAGCCAAGTATTTGTAATTAAATAAAATAATATTGAATACCAGCCGCTTTTTTATTTATTTTTAGTCATATAACAAAAGATAAACAAGAATACTATTACATCTAAGAATTATTTAGTAAATTATTTTGCTAATGTTTTATGAATGAGGAAACACGGTAAAAATGTTTTAATGATTGAATTCACCGTTAAAATCAAACAACCCCAAAATTCCTTTTTCCCATACTTCGTAAAATGTTTTGATTAAATATGATTTGAATGAGTTTTCCAATTCTGTTTTGAGTGATATAAATATTATTAATTAGGATATATATTAGGATATAAATTATTATTAGTAATAATTTTTGTATTATAACTTAGCAGAATATCGTTATCGTTAAAAATTATATCTAAAGAATTAATTTTGAAAAAGAATAAAAAATATAATTAACTGTTTCCATTTCTCCTCTATGCATCTATTTATATAAAAAAGGAATCTGGCTAGGGAATTTACGACTTGTATATGAACTAAAACTTGGTATCTTGACAAAACTTGTCAGAGCATAAAAAGCTTATATTCTGTGATATTAGTGTATTAATCATACTTCTGTATCCGTAATGCAGTTTATAATTACCAGCATAAGTATCATAATGGATTTTATTAAACGACGAAAACTGAATGCATGATCCTAGCATTATCAAAGTACGCGGCTTTTTATATCCCGTTAAGATTCCTTGGTTCGTAACCAACACGAGTTTTATTTTTGAAATGTTATTCCAAATAAAACAGGAAGCGTTAAACTATATGCATTTTAAACAGTTTTACTTTTTTTTGGAAGGGAACCTGACCTCCGCAGGCTAACTGACACTAAGGTCTCGAAAGACTATTTCTAGTCAATAGAGTTTTTTCATTCTAGAAATACTCATTATCTAGAGCTATCTTTCTTTCTAGCCATTGTGAACTACATATATAGTGGGAAAAATTCTCATTTTACATAATTTTCGGATAATTACATTTTACGTTAAATAATTTTAGATTTTGATTAACGCAATCGATGAATATGGCAGAATAATAGTTTGTTGTAAACATTGTAAATTTCAACTTTTTTTAAGTAAAGTTTTCAAGTAAACCAAACCAAAGATTATTAAATTAGTCTTATAATGTTTACTGTTTGGTTTTCAGTGTTCTGAATTTGCATTTTAAAAAACATAATTTAAATAATCTTTCTTTACGCTAGTCGCTTTTTAAAATGTTTACCTATGTAAACACTTACTAATGTTTAATGTAGCAACTTTGTATGTACTTAACGAAAGACTTAGAGGAATTTATAAAGAAAACTAGTTCACCATGGAAAAAATCACGAAATCTTCCCTACAGCCAACGTATTGACCAGAAACCAAAACCAGGTCAAAATACTTATGATCATCTCTTTTATCCACATAGCCATTGGTAAAACTTTTCAAACTTATACTTGTTCTTATTGCAGTTATAAACAGAAATGTGAACACTCAGATACTGCCGCTTGTTAAAGTTAGTACAGTCTGCGGCTGATTCTATATCTGCCGATGGTGTTTTCGAAAAAAACTTGAAAGATAATAAATTATGTTACCCTGCTGAGTCATCGAAATATTATATATTTGTTTATTGAAATTGAAAATTTTATAATTTTCTATAAAACTGCAATGGAATTATTGCATTGAGTAATCTTCAGTGTGATGTAATTAGTGTCCTAAATATAAAAGTATGCAAAAATCAAATTGGAAATTACAGCAAATCAGTCCCTAGAAATATGCTATGCCTGTATTAATCTAGTAGCAATCAATTATTCATGAACATTATAGAATGCATGCCATATAACAATTTGTCAGCAGTACAGGAAACAATTTCGATATGCGTGACTTTTCTTTTAACATAGTTTTTCTCTCGTTACT